GGGGAGCCTGTGCTGCCATCTCTCCTCTCTCCCCCTGCTGCAGCCACAAAGCTCATTATGGGATAAATCCTGCCTAGTGTTCAGGTAAGTTGTTGACAACATGCATGGGAGCTCAGGCTTGTGCATGCTGGGGTGGGGAATGTCTGCATGCTGAGTTGCACTGTGCTGGGCAGAGCATACCAACATTGTGTGAAGCCATGGGCACTGGACAGAACTAAACTTTCAATTTAAAAATATTTTTTAAATATTCTCCCAACTGTGCAAAGTGCTAGTTTTGGCTGATAAAAGCAAGGAGCAAGATGGAAACTCTGCTGCCTCATACAGTAGGTTTGAAAGGAGTGCTGTCCCTTTTTTGCATCAAATTCCAGACACCCTCTTTTTCCTTCTTACTTGGCTTCTTGGCTATGTTAAATTGCTGAATTTTGCTTCATTAAAATAATTGCTGATTGCACTTTACACTTTAACTTAGCAGCTGCTCAGCAAAGGCTCCGCCACTGAAGATGGTAACTATCTCCTGTCACCTGCAGGTTAATCTTTATTTCAGTGGGCCTCAGTGAGCTCTGATGGTCCACAAGTGCTGAGATCCAATCCTCTGCTGGACATGCAGCCAAGGAGTTAGGATGGCCACATACTTGGAAGTCATATTCTAGGGGACATTTTCATTAGGTTTATTAAGAATTCTCTGATTTTTTTTCCTTAGGATACTCCAGATCCACATTTTACACTGTCTTTAAGAAGTGGCTCCTGTCATGGGGGTGTTCAAGGGCAAAAAAAAACAAAACAAAAATCCAAACCAGATTCATTCAGCAGTGCAGAGAGAACTGGACATTACCAAGGATGACATGACACGCAGTGAAGCTCCATGTCATCCTTGCCTGTAAGCTGTGGAACAGCTCAATTGCTTGCAGGACATGAGAGAGAAGGAAGCCTTCCTGCATCCAAGACAACACACAACATATGCTGTACAACATATGCCCTACTGCTTGTGCTGTGCTGTTTCAGTGACAACAGTCTGGGCTTTTAATTGTTGTAACCCTAATTAGTAATGACAAATATTTTGGGACTGGAGGACTTGGGATTTCTTTATAGACTTTAGACCCCATGTAAAAAGTTCACTCCTTACATCCACTCTAATCTTGCCTTAAGTTATTCAGCATATACATGTGGCACAGTAAAAGAAGCACTGAAGTGTGCTGAGCTTGAGATAGTACACTTTCCAAATCCCCTGCCAGCCTGGCTTAGATGAAATTTCTCCTGGAAATACAGCAGTTGTTGTTGACATTCTCTTACAGTGGGGAAAGGAGAGGCAGAGACAGCCGCTGGTTTCATGCTAAACAAAGATGCATGGAAGGAAAACATAATTTATTTTAGTTGAACCTTTTTAAAGAAATTAGGTGTTGCTTGTGCCAAATTTTCACATCATAATAATCAGAAACATCCTTGCTCTATCAGATATATCCCCAAGAGAATTCCACCCATTCCATGTGGTAGGTGAGACCCAACATGCTCTCCCGGACCTGAACTTTTTTGGCATGTGTTGTACCTGGTTAAGAACTATTTCAGCCACCTCCAGCTTTCTCAGAGCAGCCTTTCACCTGACTGACTCAGGCCCTCACACTATGCAGCCTCAGGGAAGGGTTGTGGGATCACAAAGAATACAGGGGTGCATCCCACCTCTGCTGTCTCAAGGTGGACACAGATCACCCTCTCAGTCACACAGACGCCTTTTTTCTGGACACTAAGCAATGACACTAAAGCATGCTGTCACCATCCTGGACTCTTTGGCCATGGACACCCTCTTGGCAAGGAGGGGCAGGCAGGTTTGGATGGATTGGCTGGGGGTCCTGGGGAGAGTGCTGGCTGCCTGCAGGGTGAGATGCTGCCCTATTCCAAAGAACCCATTGTGTGTGCTGCACTTACATTTTTCTCAGTCAGCTGATGCAAACTTTTGTGTCTCTTGAAGGGCTTTGTGCCTTAGAAGCCCTGCAGGGCTAAACCTGACAGAGATACCATGGGCCAGCCTCTCAAGTGGTGGAAATCAGCAGCACTTCTGTAAAAACAACTGAGTCATGTTGATTTATATCAGCAGGTAGATTGCAGATCCCATCCAGCTTTCCCACATGTTATACACTGTTTTACTCCCTTCTTGTTCATTTTAGTAATAGGAAAGAGATACCAGTTTTCCTAATGAACTGCAATTTTTTCCTGATCCTCTTTTATTTTAATGAGGAGGTCTAAGATGGGAGAATCCTAACCCAAACACCTGCATCCCACCCAAGCCCAGCCTGCAGATATCTGTATCACTCAGACTCATGCTGTGAGGCTGACACTTAGCCCTGCATTGGGTTGAAACAAAATCCCCTACATCAGTATGCCTCTAGTTGGGGGCTGAACATTACAGCACTTTTGCTTGTAGTCAAAAATGTCACAGCATTAATCCCTTTATGCAATTTCAGGGATTCTTTTGCCATCTGTCCTAACACAGAGGCGAACGCAACAGCCGAGCAGACAACATTGCTGCCTGCTTCTTGCTGTCTTAAAACAGAGCTTCTTGCACCCATCTGTTTGCATGTCCCTGCCCATGAGGCCGTTCCCTGGCACAGTTATCCTCCCAGACAGACGGGCTTTTGCACGGGGGACTCATCCCAGCCTGCAGGCGGGAAGTTTGCTGCAGTTCCCAGGGTAACGCCTTTCCCATGAGACGGGGGAGCTGCAGATGGAGGCCACTGCTTTTCCCCACAATGAGACGCAGTTTCCACTGGGAAACCCAAGAGCAAAGTTTCGCTCTGCGCAAATCATGGCCATTGGCTCCATTTCCAGCCCACCACCTTCTCCAGGGCAGCCATCCCCTCTCCTCAGCCTGGCCCACCACCGGCGTTTCTCCTTCCTGCTTTGAGCACAGCAATGTTGAAATGGGGGATGAGGAACAGTGTTTGCTCCTCAGCCCTGCTGGAACCTGACGCAGGGAGCTGGCATAGCCCCAAGCCACCTGCCTGTGAGAAGATAACAAGAGGAGCTGCCTGTCGCAGATTAGTTAGAGTCTGACTGAATAGGCATTATATAAACCAAGGATTATTTGTTTGGTTTTTTTTCCTGAAGAAGTACCCAAATATTAGTGGAAACTAACTTTTTTTTTCCCTAAACTCAGCCATGTTATTCTTCCAGGAATTAACATCCATATCTTTACCTTCTTCTTCCTATAAACAGGATTCAGGGACTGATAATTCCTTAGCACTCTCTCTCTGGTATTCCTCAAGAGCCACAAAATGACAGCCCTGGTCTTAGCACCCCCAAGCCATGTTGCTCTGCAGAAGACTTGGCCACCCCCTGGGGTAGCACTGGGCCTACCTGTACAAGAGTGCATTTAAAAATAGTGATAATCAAAAAATTGATTTATACTGCAAAAAACAAAACCAAAAAAAACCCTGCATATCTTGAATGGTGTGTCTGCAGAGCACTGGGATGCAGCTGGCCATTTCCATGCTGAGCTCTGTGTGTGAGGCACAGAGCAATGGCTGTGGGCCTCTCCTGCCAGGCAGGACAGTCAGCACAATGACAGTGTTTCCCTCAGCCAGCTGCTGGTATACAGAACACAGATTAGGCCGTGTGTGCTCATGCAGCTGAACAAATTATTTGGTGAAAGTCACACATCTCAGTAATGAAATGCCACTTCTATAGGGAACAGCTACATCCTCCTTGAACAGCCCTACATGGAAAGAGATTAAAAATCAAAGGGAGGTGGGAAGTGTCTGTCTTTTCCTAGAGTGTTAACTTGTTTAAAAATATTTATTTCCAATAGCCTGCTAATTTTTACATTTCAGAATTTTTTCTACATTTTATGCTTACTTATTTTCACTGAATAATCCATTTCTCTTGCTCTTTTTGTGGCTCTTTCTTTGAAACAGCAATCAGTAAGACTTCCTATTGCAAAGGAAATCTTGGCTAAATATAGTAATGAAGAGGAGGTTGTTTAAGAGCTGCTAGGTATTCTACAGCTCTCTGGTATTCCCTGAATGTTTCTTTCAAGCCAGACTTATTTTTTCCTTTAAGAAAACCATAATTTTTAAAGAGGAAAGTTCACCAAAGAAATACAGCAACTGGTGCAATATACCTGAGATAGTTTTTCACTGTTGTATCAGCAATTGCAAAGCCATCAGTGTTCCCTATGTGGATATACTCTGTCTGCAAATGGAGAACACTGGCTGCAGGTCTGTAAGCAGGTGCTGCATGATGTAAGTTAGGGCAGGAGTTCAGATGTGCAGGTGATCTTCCTTCTTCCTAGTCCTTGGTCCTGCCAGTGGGAAAGCTCATGTGGATGACAGTAGGGCCTGTGCAGGGCTGCCACAGCCACACTCTTGCATTGGTGGCTTGGAAGAGAGCACAGGGACAGCAGGGAGGCCAAGCAGGAGAGAACAGACACCAACCCATGAGGCAAGTGACCAAGGAGTGTGCCAAGGTGAGTGACAGCAGCACAGGAACAGGCTAAACTGTTTCTGAAATCACTTTTTTCCTAGACCTGCTTGTGGTGAATGCTGTGCAGCTGATACGGCATCACAGACTGTGGGAGGGACATCCCAGTTTTCACAGCAGCCTTGGCTGTGCATCCCTCCCTAAGAGCTCTACCCCTGTGCTGTGTAGAGCTCTGCACCAGCAGGACAGCACGAGTAGCAGTGAGTGTAGGACAGGGCTTTGCTTTTACCAGTTCCCATGAAACTGGAGAAAGGAAGTATCTTCATGAGACCCAGGGCACATCCTTGAGTGATAGCCACTGGACATCAGGAGTTTTGCCACATTAGGCACAACTCCTCCTCCTACTTTCCTGGAGCAGAACTGCAGGTGTATGAAATTCTAGAGGCAGGCTCACCCCACCTGCCTCCCTTGTCACAAGAGCCTTGTGCCCCACTCTGGGGGAAGGCCCTTGCCCCTCACTCCCAGAGAAACCATTCCAAGACATCACTTACACCTCTGGATCTCTTCTGTCTGTTTGTCCCTCCCTCCAGGGAAAGTCTCTGGCAAGCAAGCGCCTCACGGGCCTGATGCAGTCCTCCTGACAGCTCCGGCCGACCGCCCCGCGGGAGAGACAGCTGAGACCACTGCCGGGGACAGGGAGAGCAAGTCCCTGCTGGGGAGACAGCCTGAGCAACTGGAAGCAGAGAGCCACACACCAGTGGAGCACCTCTCTTCACAGTTTACACCAACACTTCCCTGTCTGCACAGCTCCTTAAGGACCCTGAGCTCTGTGCAGGTACTTTGTCTCCAGCTGAGGTTTGGAGAACACTTCACCATACACAGGAGGTCAACAAGGCAAGGGCTTGCTGTCTCGTTATTTAAGGAAACAGACCCAACCACATCTTGGAGAAAGAAGAGCTGAGAGAGATCAGTGTTTTTCCACATCTCTTTCCTCCCTGGCACAAACATGACTGTAATACGATGGCACCACAATCTCACTTACTCCCTTTCATGTGGCCGTCTGGATCCAATAAAATATCTGGATATTTTAGCTGGAAGCTGCTTCTCCTTCTCACAAAATCCCAAAAGCATTTCACCTGCAGATTCACTGACTTTAACTTGGTTTTTCTTTCCTATGTTTCTCCTCCTTTAAAACAATGGGGGAAAAAAAAAGAAAGGCATTAAGTTCATCAGTCGTTGTCCTTCCAAAAGCATGTAGCATGTCCAGAGATTATACCAGATCCTCAGCTGAAGTGAGGAAAGCAGGAGTGGTTTTCATCACCTGAGGATCTTCCCCCTTGAGTCAGACTGATCCTGGTGCAAATTCTCTGACGTCGGCGGAATCGTTCTGCATGTGCGCGTAGTGTAAATGTGATCAGACTCTGCCTGATGCTCAAAAAGTCATGTTTGAGATGTGCAATGCACACACAAGCACACACACACCCACACACCCACCCACACACACACACACACACTCACACAGTATTTAAAGTGAGTTGGTTTATATTTTATTTAATTTTCTATTTATTTAAGGTTTTGCATACCTAATCAATGATGGATGTTCAAACTTTTCTTCAAGCAAACCAAACAGGACTCCAGCTCTCCAATCGGAGAGGGCCAAAATCCATTCACTTGTGTCCAGGGAAAGGCAACTCTGATGTGGGCAGTGAGGAGGGAATTGATGGTGTGAATGGGCAAAGTGCCAAGTGACACTCCCTAAACAGCAGCATTCCCAGCTGTGATATCATGCTCAGATAACTGACCCTGCTGAGAAGCAGCATTCTGAGAGTGAAATTGTACCATTGGAGGAAATGAGCTTCCACTAAAACTCCTCTGACCTGCAGCTCATGAATGCAACAGCAAAACACGGCTCAGTGGCTTGTTTCAAGCTGTTGGAAGTATGGCGGTTAGGATGAGGACAGGACTGAAGTGACTTTATTATGAAATCCATTTATACTAGCAGCAGATAGGAAAATGGTCTGCATTCACATACAGTATACTATCTATATATAAAAAGAATTTCAAGACTCAGCTGACTCACAAAATCTCCTATATTTTGTAAGCAGTTCAGATCTGAAGCATACATGAAACTAGACATTTCTTGGTCTTCTTCACTCATGCCAAGGCAGATTGGCTTTTTGTACAGGTGGTAGAAACTGCTATATGGCTACAAGTCTGCATTCTTACCTAAGCAAAACCATCTAGCTAAGTAGACAGCTGGCTATTGACAACATTCACTTCTGAGGCAAGTATTATTCTAATATCTAAGGCCTATGTATGCACAAAAACATGCCAGCATAGTTTCTGTCAGAAAAAGAACCTTCCTCTTTGCCCATGACAGTTCTCATTCTGATATCTCTTTTCTTTCCTGCAGAAAAGTCCTAATATCAATTATACCTAAGGTCCATTCACCTGCATGAATGTACAGTAGATGACTGAGTATGATCTTTGTTCTTAACACATGCCTATACCCTAAACAGTCTGCTGTCTGACCTTCAGACCAAATTCATCCTACATATACATGACACACAAGCAAGTTCCAGGACTGCAGAACCATGAGTGTCCCTGACATCCTTGTGGTCTCCTGCCTCTGAAGAGAACATTTGTCACCCTCAAAATTGTCACTTAGCTGTCCTTGCAGGACCTATTTGTCCTCTGTTGCCCACCCAGCCAAAGAGTCCCCTTGGGAAATAGCAGGTCTTTGTTTAATAGGTTCACATGTCCGTTCATGCATATGCATATATGCCCCCTTGGTCATCCCTAGGAAAATGCAGAGGTTGTCTCTTCTCAGAGCCTTGTAGATGGTGTTTTTATCTCTGTCAAACCCTCCAGTGCCATGCATCACTGGAGCTCTGTAAACCAACAGCTGCTCGCACTCCAAGCTACTCTGCTGCCAGTGCTGCCCAGCCACAAGGCATTTCCCATGGGAGGTCTGTCTCGTGAACCCTCCAGCTGGTCTGCAGAGCATTCCTGAGCAACATATACACATAAAACATGAAACTGGTGTGTAGCAAGGAGCAGGGATAGTGAAGTGGTAGATGTGGGTCTCTGCTTTGCAGTGAGTTCCCATCACTGGAGAGGTCATCTCCTGGGGCAAGGATGGGGTAGCTCCACAGAGGTTCTCCTCAGGACCTGCAGCATGGGGACACATGTGGGCAGGACTGGAGAGTGCTGGTGGGCAATGGGACAGGTGGAATTTGGGTTATGGTCTGTGCAGGCAGCAGAAATGCCAGACTTTAACCTGAAGATTAGCTGCTGCCCTGTGAGCCACACACTCTGCTTTGTCTTTCAGCTTTATTCCTGCAGGACGGTCATGTTGGCTGCTGCAGTATTTTGCCTGTGGGGAATATTCTGTGTTTGAACAGTTGAGCACATAGAGGGAATTCTTACAGACATGGAGAGTATGCATATGGGCGTGCATCAGGGGGCCTGGATGCTGAACAGCTTGCCATTTAAATGCACACTCGTGCAAACTAATCTGCTCAGCAATGGCTAGCTGAGCAGACAGAGCTGCATATCCTCTGGAGGGAAGAAAGCTCTGCTCCTTGTTTCCTGACTAAATTTCTCCAAAACAAACATGAGAGTAGACAAGGCCTCCTCCTGGGAATACATATTAACTGTTCTTCACATGTCTTTTACTTCACATATGGTGATATTAACATGTAACTACTTCCACATGAACCACATCTTTGAATTATTGCTTTTTAATGACCTTGCTTATTCCAAGTGATGCTACTTTTGTACACCTAATGGTATCCCATTGAGCATTGCAAGCAGTAATCTGCTGCTTTCTAAGTGTCCAGTGTCTTCCAACTACCTCATCATGCTGAAGATGAGTTAGGAAATCAGCTTTCCACCTCTGTTTATGTTCTAAATGGTATCAATTCAAGGAAAGACAGTCTGGAAAGCTTCTACAATGTCCAAGCTGTGCAAGTTAGCTACAAAACTACCCATACTTACAGGACTATGGCTGTGAAATATGGCTGTGCACTGTTATTTGGATAATACAGTATCCAGAGCACGCATGGCTATTGTGGCAAAACAGCAGCAGGACAAGCACTAGGAAAGGTTCGACAAGCCAGTGCAGACGGCGTTAGGCTGAAGCAAATGGATTAATGTACTCTCAGTATAACTCAGCACTAAGATCCCATAGAGTACTGTAATAAAATGGTAGCAGGGCAGCCATAAAAAGTGGCAGTAAACTGACATAATAATACCAGAATAAATGTAGCAATAAGGTAACACAGGCCACTGCAGTAAAGTAGCATTTTGATAATGCAGCAATAAGACACAACAGGATGCTGCAGTAAATTAGTATGGGGAATAAGGCAGTAATAACAGTGTGGACAAACAGTGGTACATTTGTACCAGGTACTGCAGCAATAAAGATAACACAAGATGTCCTAGTAATAAGTTACTACAGTAACAACAACATGATGCACTGTAAAGTTATATCAGGATGCTTCCATGCTGCAGTCAAATCCTACAAGAGGTGGTAGTGAGACAATGATGACAAAACATACCCCATTTCCAAATGCAGAATGTGAATCAGTTTTCTGCACCGTAACCCAGATTCTGGAATGATCTCAGCAATACCAATCCTCTCATTCCTGCTTTCAAGGAAGCTGAGGCAAGAGTGTTCCCTCACCTAGACAATTATTTTGGTCTGAAAATACAAAATTGACTCATTGTCTCTTCAGCCAAATTGTCACAGATTGTGGTGAAGTTCTTTGTTTAGTCCTACTCAGGTGAAACCCTGGTGGTTTTGGTAAGTCCTTTGCCTTTGAAAGGATTTGGCTCTCTCATCTTCTGGCATGGGTGATGCTTTTAGCCTAAAATTATTTCTGGTTTGGGTGGGAGAAGGGGAACCCAGGTACAGAACATTTGACTGTACCAGTCTGTTTCCTAAAATGCACAAATAAATGGAGCATCCTGGAAAAGTCAAAGCAACAAGGACCAAATCTGTTCTGTCTGTCATGCACTCATGCACACAAAAATAATCCTCCTGGAACCAGTGCAAGACTTGGGTGCATCCATGGGCAGGACTTGGCCTAACCCTGTTCTCAGTGTCCGCAGCAGAGTGACAGAAGCAGTGTCTCTGTGTCTCTGTCTCCTTTCCTGTTTTTCCTTTTTTTTTTTTTTAAATCTAGCCTCACCCTCTCTATGGAATTGTCTTAGAAAAAAATCCATTTGCCATAACACAATATGCAGTATTGTGGCAAGGAATAGGTCTGTCCAAGGAATTTGCTGTCTTTTTACTCTTCAGTAGAGGGGTAAAGCATTCTGAAAAATAACCGGCAACCACTATTATACTCAATAATCACCAGGAATAAGGGTTTAGTCAGAGCATCTACATCAACAAGAAGACTTGAGTGGAGTGTGTGTGCCAGATAACAAGATGGTCTCCTGGGAAAAGGATGTAAATAGGGCAAAACTGCAGAGTATTAACTAGCAAGAGCAGCTCACAGCTTCACAAGTCTCAACGGATACAAATTTTCTGCTACATCTTTCTGACCCTTTGCACCACAACTTTGTTATCCCTTTGTGTGGCTGCTTCTGTCTCGAGGGGACTGCTCAGTTCAAGTTTGGAGCAGTCCTCTGATACACCTTGGCTTGGCTCTTGCCTTAAACTCCTTAGCTTGCTTTTATTGTGGTTTAATGATTAAGCAGGATTATTAAAGTAGAGCTCACAGTAGGGTAAGATAGGCTAGGTTATCATGATTACGTTGTTTAAACTGTGAGCAATTTTGAGCTTCTCAACACTGTTTATAACCTGAGACGGGGAACAAGCAACGTGGCTGCTCAGCAGAACAGTGAGCTGGTGAACAATACACTATCTTCATGCCCACACATACTTTGAACTTACTGCTGAGGAGAAATGCTTTGTAGTGAGAAAAGTAATCTCACAGCAGGGGAGAGTCAGACCTGATCAACTTTTTCATGTGATACAGATTTTGCTTTGCCAGCCCCTAGTGTCTGTAAAGCTTGCAGCTAAGAGCCAGCAACCTCCTAATCCTGCTGCTAAGCTTTGGAAACAAGCTTTTCAAAGGC